TGCTGCAAGTGTGTAAGTGAAAGAAGAGCAGTGGTAGGATGGAGCCAGTGTATTTCAGTCTAGCAGATCGTTTGCTTGACTCCATGTCGGCTTATTTCGCTCCACACCAGTTGGTTTGATTTCATTGCGGTGTCATTTGGACATACGTTCAAAGTACTTCCCCAACAGCATCTTCAGAATGGTGTTTATCATTTTAGTGTAAAAAATGCACAAGGGGGGGACTCACAGAAAAGTTAATAGTAATAGCATGTTCGATAGTGTAGAGGACAGGCATACACATATGTTTTTCCGTCACGTGGAGGAAACGGGGTCCGCGGGTTTTTTTTTTTTTTTTTTTTTTTTTTTGTCCACACTTAAGTCGACATTTTTGTCGTTAAGCAGGTTTGAAACGAAAAAAAAAAGATATATGCAAGCATGCATATACCAATGTGTATGTGTATCCTTACACATACTTATTTTGAAAATTTTCAAAAAAAAATATTAACAACATTAAAGGGGGGAATTTAAGGTCTTTTCGACCGATGCCCAAAAGGAGGATGCGTTTCAGAGCACTGTCAAGGCTTCACATTTTATAAAATACACACAAGTGGGGGGAAAAAAAAAAAAAAAAAAAAAAAAAAACACGCGAAGAAATCCCTTCACTTCTTTTCATTTTACAGTTAGCATGCCTGACAGAGTTACGAAACTGATATAAATTTTTTCAATTTTTAAGTATACTATTTCTACGTCTATGTTTTTACTCTTGTGTTGGGGGTGGGGTGAAAGGGAACAAACGCATACATATATCATGTGGACAAAAGGGGTCCTTACAAAAGATAGGGCAGAGAGAGACACCTTTTTGCAGGTACTTCCGCCATGGGTGGAATCACCCCATGAAGTGACGGCGCCAAAAAAGCGCTTCTATTAAAAGTAGCGGTAAATGGGATAACCTTTAAGAAGTGATTAATTTCGTCGTTCTTTATTATGATGTTTCTAATTTCAATTCCTGCATTCATATTCATGGTTAGGAAATTCTTGTCGCATGCTGCAAGTGTGTAAGTGAAAGAAGAGCAGTGGTAGGATGGAGCCAGTGTATTTCAGTCTAGCAGATCGTTTGCTTGACTCCATGTCGGCTTATTTCGCTCCACACCAGTTGGTTTGATTTCATTGCGGTGTCATTTGGACATACGTTCAAAGTACTTCCCCAACAGCATCTTCAGAATGGTGTTTATCATTTTAGTGTAAAAAATGCACAAGGGGGGGACTCACAGAAAAGTTAATAGTAATAGCATGTTCGATAGTGTAGAGGACAGGCATACACATACCCAGCTATGGCGGAAAGAGAATGATCTCTCACTGCTTTTTTTTTTTTTTTTTTTTTTTTTTTCCACACTTAAGTCGACATTTTTGTCGTTAAGCAGGTTTGAAACGAAAAAAAAAAGATATATGCAAGCATGCATATACCAATGTGTATGTGTATCCTTACACATACTTATTTTGAAAATTTTCAAAAAAAAATATTAACAACA